ATAAAACAACCGCCACACATTGCATGAAAAAAAATGTCTCCCTTCCTTCAGGCTGGCCAAGAGCGCTGAGGACCTGGAGAGCCCCCTGAGCGACAAGTGCTGCAGGAAGACCATCTTCTACCTCATCACCACGCTCAATGAATCCTTCAGGCCAGACTACGACTTCAGTGCGGCACGGGCACACGAGTTCAGCCGGGAGCCAAGTCTCAACTGGGTCAGTGCAGTTTTGGTTGAAATCATTTCAACTGAACACCACCAGATGGCGCCAAAGTAATACTTTTTTTTTTTTTTTTTTTTTTTTGCTTTGGCTGACCAGAGCATACTGATCACAAATGGATTGAATTTTTAATGAGTGATAGAAGTTAGGTGAACCCCCAAAATTTGCCAATATTGAGAGTTTCGCCCCTCCCCCCCAAAAGCCACAAATCAGTGAAATGTTTTTTGGTTCTGTGGTTGTCAGGTGGCAAACGCGGTCAACAGCAGCTTGTTCTCAGCCGTGGGTGAAGGATTCAACTCTTTGGGACCCGAGTTGTGGAACGCCATCGACCAGGAGATCAACCTGCCCGCATGTGACATCTACAGGTAACTCATCCAAACCCAGGGTTAGGGTTTTAAATTGGGGTTAGAGTTTCAAATTAAGGTTTTAAATAAGGGTTACAGTTTTGAATTGGGGTTAGGGTTTGAGTTCCAAAGTCCAATTTTAAAATGGGGTCAGAGAGTGGGGTTTTAAACTAGCTTTGCTGTGGCTGCTCAATGTAACTAAATGTCTCCCTCTGGTGGCTGTAATGGATATTACTCACCGTTGACACCCCCTCCCCCACCCTGTTTCAGCTACAATCCTGATCTGGACTCGGATCCTTTCGGAGAGGAGGGCAGCCTGTGGTCCTTTAACTATTTCTTCTACAACAAGAAGCTGAAGAGGATCGTTTTCCTCACGTGTCGCTACGTCAGGTAAGCGCTATTTTGTTTTTGACGCCACGCACCTCCCGTCAACTCCCCCTTTGTCGTCGCCAGTGTCCTGAGCGGCTACGGCGGAGATGGCCTGGACAGCGACGAGCTGGACATGGAGCTGGATGAGGATGAAGAAGAGGAGCTGGCTGGCTTCACAGAGGACAGGTGAGCTCACTCGAGTCTGCGCCATCTTGAGAAGACGTCAACGTTTGCTGTTTTGTTTTTGCAGGTGCTCCAGAGTTGTGTGCGTCTGAAGTTTCACTGTCCGCTCTCGTGTTTTCCACCCAAAGCAGTTTTCATGCATTTTGTAGGACTAAATGCATGTCTTTAGAGTTTTGCTGTTCAACAAACGTGCAGGCAACAGACTCCCAGGTCAGAGAAAGTCAACAAAAAAAAAAGGCCGTTTTCTGGGCGAGAACGTTTTGAGCAATGAACTTTTATGAAAACTTCATTTCCTCTTCACTGCTGCTTTTTACGTCACACATTTTCCTTTGTTTGTCTCATATTCCTGTTTTTCTACATTTGTGTGCACCTGATTTTCATGCAGTTTGAATGTAGAGTGTACCCAAGCTACATAATGATGATGTACATCTGTGCTTTCTTTTCAGTGTTCTAAAATATTGCTAATGTGAATAAACGTCTTTGGTGAGTGTGTGTTTTTGTTTTTAAATTGTCTTGGTCACACTTAGTGTCAATCACTGTTAAGTACCATCAAAACCTTCACCTCCCGGTGTATGTTGGTTGAGGAAGCACACGAGAACTGCAATTGAACCCTGCACCACTGCATTGGAAAGCCAAAACAAACCAGTGTACCACCACAGCCGCCCTCCTCCCAATGACTTTGTTGCTACTCTACTAGAAGGCACCTAACAGTGATTGACACAAAAAGTTTGCATCTTCCATTAACCTGAAGCCACAAAGGAAGACCGGAGCCGGAGTCGAACTCTGCACCTATGCGCTGAGAGGCCGATCGATAACCATTCGCCCACCAGGCTGCTCCACGAGTGACTTCAATGAGAAACTTGATCAAGCTTCTTCAGTTCGCTGAGGAGCTGATTTGGATCAGGTGCCTTGCAGCAGGGAGTAAAAGAAAACATGCACGAAAACTTGACATGCCTCATGTGTCGAGGGGAAGGGTTTTTTTTTTTTTTTTCCCCCAAAACTGGCAATAGGGTTAAAAGGTTTTAAACCAGTCAGGGATGCAAATTTGGGTTTTAAATGGGTTGGGGCGGGGGGGCCTATAAAGCCTTACTATATATGGTCGTTTTTTTCATTTTATTCTGAAAAAAAAAACCACCATGTAAAGTAAGGCGTTTTTGACCGAAAGAAACGACAATGGTATAGTTAGGCGTTTTTTGGCCCGAAAAAAAAACGACTGTGTATAGTATAGCGTTTTTAGCCGAAAAAATGACAAAGTGCAGTAAGCCGTTTTTAGCGAGAAAAAAACGACATAGTAAGGCGTTTTTAGCCGAAAAAAACAACCATGTATAGTAAGGCGTTTTTTGCTGGAAAAAAGGACATGGTATAGTAAGGCGTTTATAGTGAGAAAAAAACGACATAGTATAGAAAGGCGTTTTT